GTGTGTGTGTGTGTGTGTGTGTGTGTGTGTGTGTGCGTGTGTGTGCGTGTTTGGTTACCTTTTAAAGACATTTTTCTGATATGATCACCTTTCTTGTCAGGACCAGCACCCCTTAGAGGACAAAAACTGGTCCTGATACTGTAGAACTTCATTTTTGGGTTAGATGTTAGGTTTTAGGGCTAAGGTGCAGGTGTTTTCTTAAGTAAAAATGGAGGTTGTAACAAATTTGAAATGTGTATGTAAAGTATATAAAATAAATACTACCAACTCCAATAAAGCTGCAGTAATACCTTCAGAAATTGCTTTCTTTCTGTTTATAAACAGAAAAAATACATYAATTCTCAGAAGAAGCTATGAAACGTTCTTTCTGTGCTCAACGCTCAGTGATTGGTTAAGAATTGCATYTAGGCCCGCCCATGTATAAATAGAACAGCCAATCAAATACCGCTTTCATTCACCAGGCTCTGGAAGTGGGCGGGAAACGCGCAAAATTTGAAAGTTCACCCGGAAACAGTGGACAGCAGAAGATAGGGTTTTTGCGCATTTGACTTTTATCAATGTAAAAAAAAAAACAACTCTTAATACCTGCATGGCAGTCTGGTAAGTATCATCACATCGCGTTGTTTTACGTTTGCATCTATACTAGAGGAAAATGTCGGATGTTTTGTTTTGTTTTGTTAATAAAGTTCGGGAGCAGACGTTACTCACAGTTAGCACATGCTAAAGGACCAGCTGTTGACATTTGGTGGTCGCTCCACTTGTGTCTTCGGTCTTATTAATTAATGTCGCATAAATATAAACGCAGACTTTGTTATTCGCTCAGGTTATCTGTGSTTCGGAAACCATGTTGAAATTTAAATACGTGAGTCAGGGAAGCCTGAAAACGCTCTGTACCTCCGCTGACCCCATCACRACCCGCAGCTTGAGACTCAACCAGGTGTTTCAGGTAAAGCAGATATGTTCTCACGCTAACTTGTGAGTTGTTTCAGTCACTATAAACGGTTTTAAAGTGGCTGCAGTAACTGCATTTAGACGCTGACTTCACCTTCCTGTGTTTGTTTATTGTCTCCAGGGAAGAGTGAGCCTGTGTGGGCAGCAGGGAGGAGGATGCTCTTTAGGACGGGAGGAGTTTCTGGAGGCTCTTCTGCAACTTTACCAAGAGTGCACCTCCCCGGAGCTGATGAAAATACATCATGTGGCCAACTTTGTCAAGAAATGTAAGCATCACTTTCACCCGTGTGTCAAAGGTGTCGTTCTGAGCTGTGCAAGAGTTTCAAATCAGCTAGACTTTCTTATCTTTTTTAAAAAATGTGTTGATCAATATTTCTCCAGGCTTTCTGAAGGTTTTGTTGCTGCTTTTTCTTTGTTTTCTGTCCAGAACTCATACTTGACCACGATTGAGTGCAAGCGCTTAAAAAAAGAATAAAGGTCAGGTTTTTAAAAAATTAGCATATGAACAATTAAATATGAAATAATAATTTTTCTGTGACTGATGCCCACACAGATTTTTTTTTTAGAATTCAGGTCATCCAATGGGGGATATTTAACAGATTTTTCTTTGTTCTAATGTAGTTTTTATTTAATAAAGTAGAGCAATATATGCTTTACTTAAGCAAATATACCCTTAGCAACCCTTGCAAGATCTTGTATACTTAAAACTGACACGCAGAAGAACATTCTTGTTTTTAAAATAATAGATTGTGGGCTACAGCAAGCAGGTTGTTGCAGCTACTGTTGCATCTTCTTTTTAACCTGCTTGGTTATTTATTAAGTATGTACAGACATTACCAATTGATGTTTTAATTATTCAAGTGGCCAGTTAATCAGCTTATTTCTGATCTAAAAATAATTAATTTAATAAGTGGGGAATAACAGGAAAGAGTAGACAAACGGCCTGAGAAATGCATCATTCTTTGGTTGATCATTAAATACATGTCAGGCTTTCACCTAAAAGCTTTTTTAAATCTCCTCTGCTCGTGTTCAAATATTGTGAAGTCTACCCAACTGTTCTTGTTTTATTATAGATTCAAGTTATCAGTCTGTGCCAAATAAAACAAATCAAATAAGTTAGATTTTAGCTAAGTTTTCTGAGATCTGTTGACACAACTTTAATTAATCTCTTTTGCTTAGGATCCTTTTAATGTATGAATGATTCATAGGTTAAAAATAAGTGGGTTAACARGCAACCAAAAACAAAACATTTCTGTCAAAATGTTCTGGTACTTTACAGAAAATCAGAAAAGAAAGAAAAAAAATTGTAACACCTTCAGAGAGCGTTGATAGCTGATTAAAATCATCTTCTGTTAGACAAAAGTCTTTGGAAGCAAATAATGTATGACTCGTGATTTTTGCACAGCCCAGTGTATGTTCATGTTACCAAGTGGCCTTCTGCGTACAGCAGAGGTGCCCAATGTGGGGCCCACGGGCCAAGATTGGCCCGCTGAGCCATTTGATTTGGCCCACCAGCAGTTGTCCTGGTTACTAGATTGTAATTATGTTAATATTAAATATAAAATACAAGTAACTACAAGAGACGTTTAGATTAGATTTAAGCCCATATATAGATTTGCACACCTTATAAGACCACATATACTCAAATTTTAAATTATGAAAATTCCCATGAGCCTTTGCTGCCTGAGCATACATTGAATTTTCTCCATGTCCATGGGCTGAAAAAAAAACTAAAGAATGTGGGCAACCACACTGGCTGCTAATTTAATCATAAAAAAATAAAACAAATTTACTTAAGTATTTGCATTTCTTATATTATTGCATTTGGCCCGCGGCCCTCAGGTTGATTTTAATTTTGGCCCTCTCAGGGAAAATGTTAGGGCACCCCTGGCGTACAGTCATTAGTTTGTGTTGTTTTCTGTTTGTACCACAGTATGCAGGTTTAAAGTCACCACATAGAAATCAATTTTTGAAACCCATATTACAAAATCAAAAAAATAATACCTCAATATTTTGTTGATGGCTGGTTATTATATTAATTACTTTCCAAGCTGAATGCCTGTATTTTCTGTTGTGACTGCCTGCGACTGAACATATCTGAAAACTTGTTTTTGTGAAACAGATTCTGAAGTGGTCTCAGAGCTGCGGACCCTGCAGCCAGGACCTGAGGACTTTGAGCTTCGTGCGGTGGTGGGTCGCGGCCGCTTTGCTGAAGTCCAAGTGGTCCGAGAGAAAGCCACCGGAGACGTGTGTGCCCTTAAAGTGATGAACAAGATGGTGTTACGCACTCAAGAAAATGTAAGCTTCCTCTATTATATTTGGCTTAAAAAAAGTACCTGAAGATAATAGTAAAATCTAAAAAACAGATGCTTATAAAGAACATTTTGTTATATGTAATGTGTGACAAAGCACATAAAGAGTATCGTCCTCACAAGTCCGTGTTGTCTTTTATTAACCCCCACGGGGTTCTAAAGTTGTAATCTTTAAAAGGCCCACAGGAGAGCACTGCAGGGCTGAATACATCAAAAACAACTGTGGGGATGTTTTCTTTTCTGTCACAACTGTGCTTTTTGGCATATGACTAATGGAACAGCTCTCAGTCAGAATAGTACATGAGCAATGACGGCACGAGATGTGAAGTGAGCAACAAATTGCTCAGTTTGAATGAACAAGTGCGATGTTTTGTTCATACCAACACTTTGCTTTATTTAAATGGCAGTTCACTGACAAAGCAAGCAACATGAAGCGAGGCTGGAGACGGAGGGCGTGACGTTTGTCGAAGAAAAAGTTAAATATTTAGATTACTGGTCAATTGATATATCCATTCGTCTGTTGTTGATGTGTGTTTTCTTAAAATTTAAAAAGCTAAATTTAATTTTAAAGATAGGCTTAAAGTTTTAACTTAAATGATTTCAGTACTTATTTATTCCTATAATATCTGCATTGTTTTTGTTTGCTAAAGTAGGTCTGTTCTCTCTCAGAGCAGGAATGGGGTAAAAAAAATCTAAATCCACTTGGTTGCTGGCTGTAGATGAGGTTGCCTGAACTGCACATCTCTATACATTTTTGTTTATCAGCCTTTTAAAGACAACCAAGACCCATTTTTATTGTATTTTTTGTAGCCTGAATAACAGGGGCGGGGCCACAGTGCTGAAATCCGATTGGCTCCCTGAAGTGCCCCTGTCCTGTCACTCATCTGTCCTTTGCCTAAGAGCAATGATGGTTGGTGCAGTTCCATGCCCAAACGCTAGAGGCGCTAATGAGTCAAACAGTAATGTCCAGCATGAATCAGTCTCACAGAAGTCGTCTTCTCTTCTTTTAAAGACTGGAACAATTTTGCAAAAATATCTTTCAACTGGCAAATAATGGCTTCATTTTTTCACATGCTTTGAGAATATTTTGTTCATATACAGTAAAAACACATGTAAAATTCACAAGGAGAATTTAAGATTTTTTAATAACATTACATTACGTTTCAATTGTTGGACCATATGTTACCGGTTAAGCCTTACCAAAACCAAGGATTTATGTGCAAGGGTGTTGAACAAATACTTGGACCCTCTATGAATATTGTGGCCCCATGATGGCCCCTTACTCAGAAAAATCCTAGATCCGCCACTGCTGTACAATCAAATGTTTGGCAGATGAACTATCGACTGATCAGACTGTTCATACAACTGTTGACTTCACCAGTTTTATAGGAGAGTGGCAAAGAGAAAGCTGCTGTTAAAGAAAACTCAGATAAAACATCAATTAGTCTCTAAACATAAAGAGTCTATTTAAGACTATATTGTTCAGTACTTTAGGTTTTAGGCCCAAGAATTGTCTACATTACATGTATAATTGTGTCTCTTAAATATTTTGCAGGTGGTTTTTCACGAGGAGGAACGGAAGATCCTGTCTCTGAACAGTAGTCCCTGGATTCCACAGCTCTTATATGCCTTTCAGGACAAAGATAATGTCTACCTGGTGAGACTGGAGTGTTTTTTTTTTTTTTTGTATATTTCTCTCAATCAAATTTGTTGTATAGAACTAATAGGACAAGTAAATAAGCTTAGAGTAAATGATTCTCACACAAAGTAGCATTAATTGGTATAATATACAATCTATAACATATGAGGCACAAATCTTCCTTTTTTGCTAATACTTAGCTATAAATGTAATCTATTACAGTTTAAAATGCCCTCGAAAATACAATTGGAGCATTTACATCAGCCAACCTTAACTAAAGATATTTAGATAAAAATGTAAACAGTAAAGCCAAATCTAATGATGTTTGTCTTATCAGTTTATGCACACAAATACGCTGAAGTCATTAATGCAGTGTTGACACTGAGAGGGTGTAGACTTGTTGATCGTTTGTCACAGTAGCCTACAGTTAGAAAAGAGCAGCAGTTCAGTTAATATTCATTTTATTTCACTTGAATGCACTATTTCACCTGCGGAGCTCAGCGTGTGGTGCGTGCACAGTCTCTACTGGCACACTTTCTCATTTAAAACTGGGCCACAGTCAGCCTAATGGTCTTGAACTTTGCCTTCATTTTGACTCATGTTTGCTTCTTAAAACAGCCCTCATTTCACCACCACTGAGTTTGTTTACCCGCAGCCTCTTTCAACACTACACCAACTTATTCTGAACCCGGATATTCTTTGTTTTCAGTCCACCTAACCTGTCTTCACCCCTGGCTTTCCTAATGTGTTCATCAACCCACTTCCAGTGTTGTAACTACTGAGAATAAATTGCGTTAATCACTCGCATCGAATCCTGCAGTTGTACTACTAAAACAGCTTGTTATGATTGAATCAGCACCACCACAAACACTTAAAAATCATGTTTTAATGCCTAAATAACCCTCCTCCACTTCCTCTGACCAAAAACCTCTTGTTTATTAATCTTTGTGTCTTTACAAAATGGTAACAGAGACTAACACACCACTGTTTGACCCACACTCACTAATCCTTTGTGGTTGATGTCACAATGAGCAGCTTTATCTGCAGGAGCAGAGCACCTCCCAGGTAAACACGTAGCGATTTAATTACCTCTCATCTGTGTTAGTAGTTTCATCATTTTTCTCATTTATGGCTTTCATTAGTGCCACTACAAAATGTCTTATATTTTAATTCACCCATCCTTCCTACCTTTGTGTCGGTATTTCTAGATGTAAACGTTTCTGTGCCCTCTAAAATGTGCCAGACGTCTCTTAATTCTYTAAGAGACTGTATATACAGTATTCAGCCAGCCATCACTCATTTCTTTGTTTCACTTCAACAGATCAAGACTTTTCTTACTTTTCTTTTTTAACTGGAACAAATGATCCTACTGTCATATCTAGCAGTCAGTGTTCCTCTTTTTGTCATGTTACATCTTTATTTCTTTGAAACTTTGTAAAAATCTTACTCTGTGCAAGTGTCTTAGACCCATGAACAGATTGTGATTAAAGGGGCAATATTATGTGTTTCTCAGTCATATATTTAAATTCTATACCATAATAAAGTAACTACGTCACCTTCAGTTGTTATTAAAATGCTGTTTTTATGTTTAAATAGAAAATAAGCTTGACTTCTCATCATATCTGTTTCTAAATGCCTTGAAATTGGAATTCTGTCTCTTTAAGAACCTCCTGCCGCTTCTGTCCCGCCCATTTCAGCAAGGGGCCGGGTGGGTGTGTGTGCTCTGTGATGAGACACAGGCCAGAGGAGGAGCTGATCCCAAAAGGCGGTTCTAGTCCCAACCAGTGGTTTTTGCTCCCCTGCCTGGCTGCCTCAGGACACTACAGGATTTCTCAAACATGCATGAATGAGTCAAAGCAAGACTCTGGGCATGTTTTTGATGAGAGGACAACATTATAACATGATATAAAGCCCCAAAAAGTTGATTTTACATCATATAGCCCCTTTAATAAAACCTTAGATCTTATCAGAATGGTACATATGTTGAAAAAAAATCTAAAAGTAGCAAGACTGACAACTTTCAGGATTGCTAATACAGTTTCTAGTTAACCAGATTGTGTTCAGATATTTTTATGCTCTTCTCTTCTCCATGCTCGGCCTCAAAAGTGCTGTAGGCAGTCCTCGGGCGTAGACATAATCCACTGTGTTATAGAAACTACAGCTGCAGAAAAAAGTTAGGAACTAAGTTTATGATTTTTTTAGCTTCCAGTTTTTTTAGTTATCTGAAAGAATTTATGGATTTCTTTTGTCTTTAACGTCTATTTATCATACGAGTAAGTCATTTGTTTTTTAGCGTAAAGAAATGGTCTCCCTTTCCCATGATACCGTTATACCCTAATAGTCCAGTCTTTTGCCCCGAAGCACTGTTGTTTTATTTTTAACACTGAATTTATACAGCTGTTAAGGTATCTGTCTCTGAAGACCTAGGATAGTTGAAGAAAATAATAWTTTTCTGCTCAACAAAGCCTCAAATTGTACAGGACTGTTTGACATTCTTTCTAACCACCTAAATATCTTCCTTTAAATCCCCTGGCTGTCCCTCTCGTTCCTTTTTCTTTTACACTCCCCTTCTTTCTCACCCTGCTCACAAACTGAGCGTGGAAGAAAATACAAAGCATCCATCTTTATCCGTGTGTCTGAGAGGCACCCAGTCTCTCCTTGTTGCTAGGTAACACTGGAGAATGCTCCCGTTCATTCAGACTCGCGGACCATTCATGCACCAGGGGCTCTCGCCTGTTATGGCTGCGTGGACGCAACCGTGCAGCTTCAATCAACCTGACCAGGCTCTTTTCTTCTCAAGACATGGAGAGAGCAGAGAGAGAACCACAGCTAGTTTGCCTTTTTAGAGCTTTAAAAGTAATAATTTGAATGAAATTTCATAAGTGGCTTCAATGAAAAGGGTTTTTGTTTTGATCAAAGGCTTAAAAGCTGCACTGGGATTTTGCAGTTATTCCTGGTGTATTTTTAGCACTGCTTTGACTGCAGTATCACAGATGAATCAGTAATAGTATTCAAATTATTACATAACTGAATCTATAATGTAAAGAACCACCCTGTGAGATACATTTAAATAAAACTTTGATCTGAGCTCAGATACATGTGGTCGTTTTCATTCTTAATACAGACGTATTTGCATAAATCCCTGTTTCMACTGCTTTTTATTGCTGCTCAGTCAAATCCAAACACATTCCTTTATATTATTTTGTAATGCTAATCATATTTTTTTTCCTGTCGGTTTACCTTTTTCTTTTTGCCTATATTTTTAATGTGTCTATCTTCAGGCAATGGAGTACTTGCCAGGAGGTGACCTCATGTCTCTGCTGAACCGATACGAGGATCAGTTTGATGAGTCAGTTGCTCAGTTTTATTTGGCTGAGCTGGTAGAGGCCATTCATGCTGTCCACCAGCTGGGTTACGTCCACAGGTAGGAGACAAACTATTAAATCCAGTCTCCCAGTGTTTGAGTGTTTATTTTGAAGAAAGATGTGTCAGTAGATGGTCTGAGTAGGTTTTTTTTTTAACTTTCTAATAGTCACAAAAAATTGTTTTGACTTCAGAGGATGAAGTCATGTAGTGTGAAATTATTATTGTTGTTCAAAAATTTGTTCTCTAAACTTCGTAATAGCTGCCAAATGGTCTCAGGAGGCTTTCTAAAAACAGTATCAGATGTCTTGTAAACTATTGTCTTTCAGGGATGTAAAACCAGAAAACATTCTCATCGATCGGACCGGACATATTAAGCTAGCTGATTTTGGATCAGCTGCAAAGTTGAATGCAAACAAAACGGTGAGTAGAACACAGAGTTTAGCCCGTTTAAATTATTATTATTATTATTATTATTATTGTTATTATTATTATTAGCAACATTTTTGAGCTGTTTTTCTAATGTTTTTCCAGGTGGCCATCACCACAGTACCTGTTGGGACCCAAGATTTCCTCTCCCCTGAGGTCCTGAGTGCTATTAGCGGGGGTTCTCACAGCTCCTATGGGATTGAGTGRGACTGGTGGTCCCTTGGGGTCATTGCTTATGAAATGATTTATGCTAAGTCTCCTTTTTCTGGAGACACGTCCACCAAGACCYTTCACAATATTCTCAACTTCCAGGTATAGAGTTGGTTTATACGCTGCTTACTGGTTGTCTGGTCTGTAAACAAATAAAAACAGATCTTAGAAAGGCATTTTCTACAAAACACTTGAATGGAATGAATAAAACATGCAAGTTGACTAAAGTAATACCTGCTCAGTATTTATGTTATGTGATGTTTATTTTGTTGGCCTGCAGCGTTACTTAAAGTTTCCAGAGGAGCCACGTGCCAGTAAGCAGTTTGTTGACTTGGTGCAGAGCCTGCTGTGTGATGCAAAAGAGCGCCTGGGTTTCCAGGGACTCTGCTGTCACTCTTTCTTCTCGAGTATAGATTGGAAGAACTTGCGACAAGGTGAGGGATTCCCTTCCTCTGACTTTCTAGTTTCTTGTGGTTTTTTTTTTTGTTTTMTTTTTTTGMGGGGGGGGGGGATGCTCAAATTGATTTAAATTATGGTATTCGGTTATTGGACAGATGAGTTGCCAAATATTACAGTTGTTTGTGCATTAAGTGTGGGTGCTCATACACAGAACAGAACAATTGCGTTACAGTGTTTTTCTGTTAATAATAAGATTCTGTGTCTCGTTGGCAGTAGGCCAGCTCTTTATTAGGAGGGGGTAAAAACAAAAAGTGAGGCAGACTCGTTTGATTCCCAGCAGACGCACCACAAATCTTGTGTGCGTGTGCCACCAGAAATTCATCTGTGTTTGTTCAACGTCATCGCTGTCACCAAACTCGACTTTGTCCGCTGACCAGCTTTTGAGAAACACGCCTGTGACACTTTTAATTATTGGACATTTTCAGTGAAGCTTGCTCACGAGCCGCATCCTGCCCTTGCATTGTAATTCACAACTGTATCTGCAGGGATGATGAGCCCTTATTTTGCTCTGCCGAATCATTCTGCTCATGTCCTCAGATGACTAAAACCCTCTTATTCAGAAGCGTTTATCAAGCATCTTGTTTTCTGACATTTTTTCTGTTTACAGAAATCTCACCTGTGCCTCTTCTTTAAACAAGGAGCTTTTAGAAAAACATCACTTCAGCAGAGACGTCAGATTAGATTATAATACAGTTTTGGTTTTGCTTCCTTTAATATTTTTTGTTGTTTTATCTGATGATTTTTCAGAACATATTAAATGTGGTATAAAAAAGTATCATATGTTTGTGTCATCTTGTTTACTGACAGTTTAACACAGATGGAGCTTTTTGCTTCAGCTGTGGCTCCAGCTGATTAGCTTGCTCTGCTGCAGTGAGGGAGAGCGAGTGAGCATGTGTATGAAAGAGAGGAGAGGAGAGGAGAGGAGAGGAGAGGAGGGAGGAGGGAGGGAGGTAGCTAGCATGTGCATCAACGCGCGACTTGCCGCACTCTAGGCTCCCACCGCTCTGCTCCTCCTCCCCTTCTTTCTCTTCCCTTTCTCCTTGTTCTTTTTGTTTACACATTTTATTTAACTACCTTGTTTGGTTTATCCTTTTTTTTTCTTTTGTTTTGGGTTTTTTTTTTGGTCCCCTTCTTCTCTTATTCCCTCCTCTCCTCCTTTTACCCTCACAGTTCTTCCGCCTTTCGTTCCTGCATTGCATGCTGAGGATGACACCTCTAATTTTGAGGAGCCGGAGCAGGCTGCCCCCTGGCCAGCCTCAGCAAGCCAACGAGGAGCTCAGCCAGCGGGCTTTCAGGGCCAGGATCTGCCCTTTCTAGGCTGGTTCTTCAGCAGACCTTTAACAGCATTGGCCAAAACTGAGTAAGTGCTACCTGTTTCCTGTTATTGTTGGTCTTCTGTTCAGAAGGGATCTACTGTCTGTCAGCACAGAGACTCCATGCACAGCCCCTCTGTGACACCTTTGTTGGCTAAAAAAAAAAATCCCATCGTAGTGTTGGCTGCTGTCCTGTAGACACACTCTCATAAGAACAGCAACAATCTTCAGGTAGCCTTGTTCCAGGTCAAATAGGATGATCGTTTGAGCTGTTGGTTTTATCTGTCAATWATTTTATGCCTCTTAGCTCTTAAATTGGTTTGTCCATATGCTGTGTCAGACAAGCAGCATGGGAGGGGAGGAATCCCCCCTTCTCTGGTGTCTCTGTCTTTAAAAATTATTTTTGTTCCATTTTGAGACCACACATGGTTCACTTGCTGCGTAGGTAAATCAAATAAATAAAGGACTGGAGGTTAGGCTGCCTTGTCTTTCTGTGAGCGCTGATTGGTATGCGTCTGAGTGTGTCAATGAGGTTTTGCTGAGAAGCGGAACCCCACACACGGGCACACTCCCACCCTCGCTGCTGGTCTTGTGGTTCCTCTGTTACTGTGAAGCATTATCGGCTCTCTACTTCTACAGCTTGGGACTGTAATTTATCCTAATGGTGTTTGGCTTCTTAACCTCAGATAATAATGCACCGGCATGGCTTTCATCTCTGCGCCCCCATGCCAGCGCTCTAGCAGGTTAATGATGCTGGAGACTGCAGATCAAAACAGCAGCAGCACCAACAGAAAGGGAAGAAAAGCATTAGCAGATTAGACAGGAAAAAGGATGGGAGCTCAGATTGGGGGAGAAAATCTATTTCTATGGCTGCTATCGTCATGTTTTTTTTTCCCAGTCCCCACCCCCATCTTTCCCCATCTTTCTCCTCCTCTTATTTTCTCTGTCTAACGTCTCTGTCCCTTGCGGTTACACCATCAGTCATCTGTTTATGGTTTTCAACTGAAGCCGGTCCTGTTCCCAGCTGTATTTGACTTATGAAAGGGGCTTGAGAGGTCTTAGAATGCATCACAATTTTATGTGGGTGCATGCATATGCATGTCCACATTCTTCATTACAATGCCATAAATGAAAAAGAATAGGCCAAAGTAAGGCATAATGAAGTGCTAATTATGTGTTTTGAGAGTTATCGTCATGATTCTTCTTGCGCTTCTTTTTTTCCTGCCGTATCTGTCTGACTATTCATTAGGAACACTTGATGACAAATTTTCTTACCAGGTTTGCTCAGATATCTGAGGAGCCATTTATAGCTGATAGTAAAAAAAAGTAGCGTTTTTTCCTGATGTGCTTTTACCATTCTATCAGGAAAATATATTTTGAAATATTTTCAGTCAAATAAGAAAATTATAAGGTCTTTTGCAAAAATGTGACAATGGAAACCTTGGCAACTGACACAAAATGCAAATAAAATAATTCATAACAATAAATCAAGAAACATGATTTATAGATTCAAGAGTGCTCGCAATTTTGATCCGTAAAACTGTCTTACAGTCTGGGACCCAAGACAGCAAAATCACATTTTTTGTGTGTCAGTATAATTTTTCGTATCATACTGACAGCAGTATTGTAACACAATYTTTTTTATGAGATGGTCTAAATGGAGCAGACAATATATTGGGTCCAAATATAWACCCCTGAGGAACCCCACAGGTCAAAGGTGCCAGAGAAGAACAGTCAAAATCTGTTGTAGATGGGTAAAGAGTAAATAGTGTTAGAGAAACACTGAAAATCTCAACCCTTTTGGTAAAGGAAGCCAAAAAATTTGAACATAAGTTTATTTTAAAAATTGTAGGAATTTATTTTATAACTCAAAGGAGTACTGTCTCAGTGCTGTTTCTGATCTCATATAAATTTGCCAAACGCATTTTACTGCATCTAGCAACTCATTAAGCACATTTATGTTCATACAACAAGTGGTTTAGAGGCAGATTTATAATTTACAAATAAACTAAACTTTAAGATCAGGTTTCTTGAGAAGGGGTTTAACTAAGACCGTTTTCAGCACTTTACAAACATTTGCAGCAAATGACAGACAAACAGGAAAAAAAAAACTGGTCCAACGCCACAGATGACTTCTTTAGGAAGACTTGGGCAGACATGATCAAGTGGACTTGTTGAAGATAATGGTTCACTTTCAGCAAATGAAAGGATTTTTGTCAAAGTGGGGAAGATGAATGAATTGTTCAGAGCAAGGTTTAAGGCAGAATGGATGTTTTTATCTTTAAAATGTTAACCAAAAAAGCATAAAATGTTTTACCAGTAGTCGCCCAAGGACTCAGTCCTGTTGGAAAAATAAAAGAAACCTTCAGCTGGGATAGTTGAAAATTATGAGATTATCGGTTAGTTTATTTATTTTCAGAGCCAAGTGTTCTGCTGTCTTTTTGACAGAATGGATGTTGTCTCTCTGGTTGAAGTGGATTTAGACCTAAAGGGGATGTCAATTTCCAGACAAAGAGCTCAGATTAATGCCATCATCAGTTTGAGACGACGGTGACTCATTTTGATGCAGCACAAAACTAAATGAAAAAAAAAAAGAAAGAAAAAAGAACAGCCTAAAGCAGCAGCCTCATTGTTAAAAACCTGATATACACCACAGTTATATAAGCGATTAGTTCATCTCTGAGTTTTGGSCCCTGATGATTGGGGTTGACAAGACCATAGCTTGGACAGTCTGTCTGGTGTGACATCTGATTCTCTGTAAAGATTTGTTAGCAACTCCTTATCAGAAAGCCCTGAATGATGCCAGATGGCTGCACACTGGGTTTCAACTTGTATCAAAAAGTATTAATTATTTAGCTGACCATTTAACCCCTCCATCTAATGCTGTTACAGGGTTTGGGATTTTACTTTGAAGGGGAATGTTCACATCTAATTGCCAGATTTTTYAAGAAGTCTCTTTGACCACACAGAAACTTTGATTTTTCTGGATTTTTCACAAAGTCCTTGAACTTCTTCACTGTTCTGCTATGAAGCCAGAAGMCCCATTTGTTTGCCAAAAACACAACTTCCCAATTTAACAAGACTCATTGTTTTGATTTATTTGTGTGTTCATATGTTTATAATAAGGGTTTGCGTACATATTTGCTTTTTAAAATTACATTTAACAAGTGCAGGGAGGGAAAAGTATATTTCACACCACTCAGTTTGTGTTCGGGGTTTTGTCCTTGGGATGAACTAGCTCTGTCTAAGAGTCTTGAGTTGTAAATGCACCAGAAGGTTGTTTGGAGAAAATCCATCTGAGTTTCTCAGAAAGCAACATAACGTTTGTTCTGTAGCATGTTGTTTGGATATCCACAGGTTTGGAGAGCCTTTTTTGATGTGTTTTTGTTCCTTTTKCTTCCCTTTTGATCCTGTGGGGACATGCTCAGCCCTGTGGTGTAGACTTCTGATGACAGAATTTATATTCCAGTGGGTGGTGAGAGTCAAACAGAAGGTACTGATCTGTGTGAGTTGYTTTCCTGTAAACCTAATGTTAAAGTTTTTCCATCTTTGTCCATAACTTGTTAGTGTATTTGATGTTGCTGACCAAGTTGACAAGTCTGGTGGACATTTCCACTTCTTTAGCTTGGATTTGAACCCAGATACCACCACATACCTGAACCAGTGGCTTGGTGGTGTTCCTTTATAAGACTCCAGGGCTCTCTTTTTCATTTCCCTTCATGTAGAGATTGGCCACAGTGGGTGACACCAGAGATCCCATGGCAAATGGCACAGCCATGCTTCTGTGTGTAAAAATTCTCCTTAAACTTGAAATAAGTGGTGGAAAGACGYTATGTCCAGCAGGATACAGATCTGCTCTGGGTTGGTTGGGTCTGTTTATCTTGTTGAAGATGTTTTCTGACAGTTTCTGCTTCTGATGAAGGTTTTACACATGAAAGGTGAAAGAACATCAAAAGAAACGAGGATTTCTCCTGGAGCCAGAGTCAAATGTTTAACCTTTTTGTTTGCCAAATAAAATAAGTAACTGGGTAAACTTCTACTGGTTAGAAAACAAATTTGTGAAAAATTGTGTTTTTTAACAGTTTGTGTTCCAATTTCCTGCATGTTTGTTGGTCTGAATTAATCTTCTAAATATACAAATCTTCTCCGATTTTCTATTTAACATACAGTATATAAAAAAGAAGAAACAAAACAGTAAAAAGAGACATATAAGGTGCAGAAAAATAAAATGCATCCTGGCCAAGAAACCCCCAGCTCAGACTCAAACTATTAATCTGTGTGTAGTTCCTCTTCATCTATTCAATTTGAGAAGGGTCCTGATTAAGTTGTCTAATATTAATTTTTGTGGCAACACACAAATTCATGTAGCATTTGTTGAAATGAATAAATCTGATGCATTCGTCTCGATGGGTAACTTCCCAGTTTAATTACAGTTCCTGTATAAATAACTTGTGCTTTGATTTTGATTAGTGAGGCTTGAGGTGTGGGTGGGCCGGGTTGGGGGTGGGGGGTGTCGTCTGAATGCATCATAGAATATATGTGCCATCTATAAATGTGTTTTCAGGAGGAGGTTTCTTGGCGCACAGTGAACATTTCATGCTTTTGTGATTATTTTTAACACCGCGACTCAGCCTGAGTCAACTTTATTACAGATCTTTTTGCAGTATTTGTAAACTCATTCATYCATGTCTGTTTATTATTTAGGATAAAACTGACTTAGTGCTTTATAAATTTCCAAAGATTGGAAACAGAAAGAAGGCATTTCCTTGCATAAACATGAAAAACGTGCACAGTACACAATGTAAAAAAGATCCTCTAACACCTTTTATTGTCAAGAAAAGATAAAGAAAATTAGGCCCATCCAAATTCAGTATTGTTTTAATGAATAGACTCTGATGAAAAGATTTGAATCTATTGTCTTTTWAAAAAAAAAACGTTTTGATGAACGTTATCCTAATTGTTGACAAGCGTATCTTTTGTCTGCTTTTAACTACTCTTGTTAAAAAGGAAAAGTAGACTCAATGCAGACGTTGAGATTTGTGTGCACTTCTTTAGTTTTTTCTTGTTTTTCTTCATTTTTAAGTATTGAAATCTCAGCTAGTGTCCATACAGAGATGCTGCACTCATGTAGCTTGCATTTTATAAAAACTCAACTGTTTACATAGTAGTATTTTGATTTTTGAACAATTGTTAAAACAAAATGATGTGAATACCAAGTTTATTTAAACGAGTGTTTCTGCCTTCAGTTTGAAGTATTCATGCTTTATGTAAACACATTGAAGAAGCTCTCCTTATGTTTTTTCCTCAGGTCAGTGTCTGCAGGTCTAAACTCTCCTGCTAAGACCAACTCTATGGAAAAGAAACTGCATCTTAAAAGCAAAGATTTACAAGAAACTCAAGACAAATGCCATAAGGTTTGTGTGCGCTCGTTTTTCAAAGCTTTTAATTCATGTTTCGCTCTTCAATGTCCCCTTTTTTTAAACAAAAATCTTATTGGAAAACTATTTATTTGTATTAATGTCTGATTGGGAACTGTAAAATTRTACTTTTATTTCATCATTGTAGATTTTATTTCCACATTTTCTTTGTTTATTTTGGCGGTCTGGCTTAAGACGGATCACAGAAGCATCTGTTGGTGCTCCAGTAAGCCAAGATAATCTTCTTGTTTGTACAACATAACAGCTTSGTGATTTGAGGCATTCATAACGTGGCAATGGGTCGGAGAAATGGGTTAGAATCTGTATCAGAATCAAATAAAATGGCCAAGTACGCCTTGGCATTCTAGGATTCTCGCTGCTCGTTTCCAGTGATCCTACAGTACAATCTTAAGCTTACACTGATGGAACACAAAATCTGTTTTTTTTTTCTTAAATACTGTAAATTATTAACCCTCTCCTAAAAGCTTTGCTGAGATGTGGTTTCTTTTGACGTGTCAAGATGGAGCAGGAAATCTCCAGGTTCCAGCGTAAAATGACTGACCTGGAGTCGGTTCTCCACCAGAAGGATGTGGAGCTGAAAGCCTCAGAGACTCAGAGAAGCATCCTGGAGCAGGATCTCGCCACCTACATCACTGAATGCAGCGTGAGTCATACTACCAGCTCTTTCATAATCATCTGTAGGATTTTAGGAAATGCTTGAATGAAGTATGGTTAAAGATTTTTAGTGTTTGTTTTTTTTAGATATTTGGGTCCTTTTATGTAACTGTTCTTAATTGAATTTAAAATATGGTGCTGATTGGACACTGAGATTATGTATTTATGGGTCTACAGAGCCTGAAGAGAAGCTTGGAGGAGGCCCGTGTTGAGGTCTCCAGAGAGGACGACAAGGCCATGCAGCTGCTGCATGACATAAGAGAACAGGGCAACAAGCTGCAAGAAATTAAGGAACAAGTACATGCATTTTTTCCCTCTTTTTAACTTTAAGGCTGCTGTACTCAAAGTTTACTGAAAGACAAAAATGACAAAATTCATGGTCCATCTGCTAAGCTGCTGTCTTATCTTACAGTATTRAGTTTTTTCAGTTCAGTTTGCAGTGTGATAATATTCTGTGTGTGTGTGTGTGACTGCTAAACAGACGGACCATCTCCTCTGAGTTCACAGCTCTTATAAAGGTCATGCCTGCAGATGGCAGCCCTGTGAGCTTAAAAACCTTAAAGATTAATTAATATTTAAAAGATTTGTCAACACTTCATCATTGTGTTAAACTAATTTTATGTACTTTAATAAAGAAACAGGGATTTCTATGCAGGTGYAAACCTTAAGTGACCTCAGTGACAGTTTGGTTGGATTAAACAAATCGTGCCATCTAATGATAGTGGATGGGTATGTGATGTTAAAGAGATGACTTATTCCAGAAGTAGAGCTTWGACTGTTCAATAAGAGTGGCAGATAAATTTTGACAGTGCCAGTTTTTCTGTCACCTCAAGATCTGYGGAGTGGAGTTGTAATGTTTTGGTTATTTTCGGTTTTGTAAAGTTTTCTTGTTAAATGATCTTTGCCACAGAGCATCACATTTTAACAGATTACTGCAATCATGAAACGGTGTTTGTGTAAAAGTCTGTCGCTGCAGCAAAGTGAACGTTTGTTGGTTTTCACGGCTTAAACAAGTTTACAGTTTTCACCCTCCTTAAAAWCACTGTTTTACCTGAATAAGTAAAAATATTTTTGTATAAAGATTTRAAAATCAGTGGCTAGACTCTTAAAGTACATGTTTATGTTTCAGATATATTTTTGCAGATAATCAATCCAAAAAGAGAATATTCATTAAATGATTTGAGATTGTAACAACATATCAGATAACAGGGGTCCTGCAGATCCTTAAAAAC